ATACAGAGCTGATCACCGTAGATCAAGCCGTTGCTTTTCGACTCTGCGTTCAGACATTATGGCTTGCATTTTCTTTGTACCACATGTGTATATTTATTCTGGTTCGGATCTCCCATTTGGGCGATCTATTGTTAATTGCAAAGCTATTTGTTCAAATTCTATCAAACTGTCCCATCAGAGAAATTAAAATTTAGAATATGTGTGTATCAGTACTGCTATAAAAGCGCATTCTATTAATTAAAAGCTAGCATTGAGTAGACGACATTTCGTCAAAATCCTGAATTTGTATCCATCCACGGCCATCCGCCAACCTTTCATGACGGATCGACCGTAATCGTTTTTGCGTTCATAAAAAGCTATCGTTAATCATACCATCGAGTTACTGAGCAGCGAGGAAACGCCACAGTTTGATTTCGGTTACGTTGAACCACTACCTATCGGCCACTACTGGCGCTCGTAGGCTCCCTACTAATGTAAAAAGGATAAATGACGTGCTTTTAAAAACTACGAGCATTGTGGTAAGACCCAATCCGAATCCTTTTGTTGTCCTTGTACATGTATTTCCACAGGGCGTATTTTTCTTCCATCGAGTGTTAGCTTTCGTTTTCTAAAAACTGAATACGGGTGGTGTTGGCGCGAGACGCAATAATTTTCCCTGTCGGAAGAGACATTTCAATACCCTGTTTTTCGAAGCGAGCGCTTCCGCAATCATGGTGGAACTGCTTGGCTGCTCGGATGCAGCGCGCCAGCTGTAGAAGGCCCAGTGTTTGGTTAGATTTGTATGAATGGACGTCTGGGGATGTGAATGTATATATGTAGACAAGAAGCGTGCGCCCTGGAAAGGTTGATACCAGGGGCCTGACGTGGGTTGCCTAGAATAGTGCAGAATTTTTCGGTGGAATGCCGGCGTCTGCCGTCAGCGAGAGAAATCAGTCCACTTCTCCATAGCCCTCACCAACCCCCAGCCACTGGCAACAAGGATAAATGTGCACGCGCTTTTACTACCTCACTGAATCTCATAGTCCTGAAGCTCTGCGATATGCAGGGCTGGCTTATTGGCTCGAATGGTAAAAACCAACTCTGCAGGGTAAATGCTACGGCTGAAAATGGGTTGGATTTTACGATCGACTACATCCATCGAATAGAACAGGATCCTGCCCTTATCCCCCGTATGATCTGTCTGACTTGAAGCGTTGAATATGATAGGAAACATGAATAAGGATAAAATAAAAGAGTTCCACTATTAGGGGAAGAAATGTGAAATTATGTTCAACATTTCTGAACGGGGTATACGTAGGAAACTACAGTTCTCGTGGCGCAGAACGGCGCTTGTACGGATAGATCGAATTTAATGCCGCTTGATGAAACGCATATTGATATTGAATGGCATTTTCCACCCTTACCATGGATAAAATAACGAAAAGAACTGATATGGGAGAAATGAGGGTTATCAAACATTTAGAAATTATCACTATCACTGGTATTGCTGTGAATATGGTCATCATAAAAAATGTGTTGGAGGCATGAAACTGTTTTATAGGAATTTTGAACAAGCCATTGAAGGAACAAGCCGTAACTGAAAACTGACCCTAAAAAACACTTCATTTTGTGATGATCTTTCAACTCGACTTGCCTTACCAGGTTTTTTATGCTTTGAAGTCTAGTAATCAACGAACCAGTTTAGTTTGTTATATTTGTAAGTTTCTGTAGGTCATGATTTCAGTATGTGTGTGCGTGTGGGTGTGTATGAACTACATACACATCGACATATCACCTTGCCCAAAAGTATCCTCCAATTATCTATAATACGGATTCGACATCAAGTTATTTAAAAAGGTCAATAAAAACCTGTTCTGAACAGCGTTTAGGCTGATCAATATAGCTCACTATTAATTTACCAAGTCATGGTTTACTATTATCTAAACTTAAAAAATAAGCTAGTATATCTACCCTATTTTCTAATAGCCCAGCTGCCATATCACTAAGCAGAACAGTTTAGTAGAAAAAGGGCATTTGTATTGCGTCTCTAAAACCCAAGCAGATTCTGAAGGAAAGCTGTCTTAATTGGCTGTATTATCGCCTGACTTCAGTATCGCTTCTGCGTTTCTTTGCGTGATATGCGTCGTCACAAAAGCAATTGATTGCGCAATTTCGTCTGCATGTCTTAATTACTTGTAGTTATCATTAGAGAGTTATGGGCACTAATGATAGTTGGCATAAACTCGAACCTGTGCATGCGCCCCCTCAGTGTGTGCATTATCCCAATTAGCTAACGTAATGCCCAATTTTCGTACATGCCCAATACTCCGCAGTGTCCAGTTTCCTCGAACTAGTTTTCTTAACACCTACGTACTTAGAGAAGACCGCTTCTACTAAGAACGCTGTCAACATAACCACACAGGTACAATCATACTAATGGAAGCGTTTACTCGTGGGTAACAAAAACACTTTCTTTCCTCGATCGTATTCGCTGTACCGCTTCTACCGACCACTAGACGTTTCATGCTCTATTTGGTGAGAGAGGCCGAACGAAACGGACGAATTTAGCTTAATCTAAAAGTTACTGTCGACAAATGGGCAGACGTCTTGCATGATTATTTAGTTGGCTCTATTTAAAACCCCAGCCTCTCGCTAGCGTCTAAGATAGAGGTAACTGAGGATATGGGACTGGATCGTTCGAGCGTTTACTTGTTAGAGACCAAGCAATCTAGTCAGCTTCTATATTGTACAACTTTTTTTTTTTTATAGAATCACCAACGGAACTATCTGTTTTTCTATTCCAACATAGTGACCTAATATACAAAAAAGTATAATGCAAGTCTGTAATCCAAACAAAGGCATATGAAGCTGGGCAGGGAAGAAACGTTCAAATGAATCAGGTTCGTTACATAGCCCTCTAGCATAACGTAAACTGCGCTAAAGATAATCTATTTCTTTGTTTTTCTATGACTGGATTTAAACTACCTATAGGCTCAGCACCGTGATAAATGCAGGTCTTGGCCACCACCTAAGAAAATGTCAAAAAATTGTTTGCTGTTTGCTTTCTTCCTTAGAGCATACTCTTGTTAATAAGTATATTTATTATAATAACGGCTGAGCAAAATCTATAAAGAAGAGGTCGCCGAACAACGATATACAGATTATGGCTGAACTTGGCTTCTAGCTTCAATAATTTGCCTAGACCTTCTGTTAGTGCATTACGAAGCACTGCACGAGAACTGTTTCTGTACTGGCGCCGTTAGCACCGGCTCCACAAAGATATAACGGAGATACGCGATCCGAGAATATCGGCGTTGATATAGATATGTATATATATATATATATATATATATCCATAACAATGCAGAGCAAAACAGAGCCGTCTGCACAGACTTTTGGGGATAACTGGGCCCTTTCAATGGGGCAGTCAATACTCATTGGGTGGGGCGGTGTTGAAATTGAGCAGCATCTGTATTTCGGCTAAAACCAGATACGGATACTCGATACACTGGGTATAATATCACCATACAAAGGCCATAAGCCCACTATTAGAAACACACCGCGCATATCGACGGTATAGAAGAAAGAAACAAGATCTAAGAGAGTCGAAAGTTAAATCAGGATAACTAAAGCACTGCAGGCTTTTCGTGATCATCAGAAGAATTGAGTACAGGCGATTTTGTGCCAGGCTAACTCCGGTGACTACACTGAACGCTGACTCCTAATGATATTACTCATATCAATGGTCACTTTGAACCCAGATCGCTACTCTCCCCACGGGTATTCGAGTCGTACTCGAATATGTATAGTATAGAAATACCCAAATCATAGGTCAATCGTACTTTGGCTCTGATATATTACATGGTCTCTTTGCTTGATCGGATTAGATTCTCCGACGATGATAGCATTCGTTTTTGTTTTACCATCTAATTACTTATAGTTTACTTGTTTGTGTATGTATCATTTTATTCATTCCTGTTTAGATGAAAGTTTAAATTCCAGCTCAATTATTTGTTCCTATATATAAATATGACAATTAAGTTCAAGGAGATATTCTGATGAACCTTTTCAATAGGGTAACATGAGTTGGACCCGAAACATCTTGAGCTCCGGGTACCCAAGTGGAGAATGCCTATGCCGTTATTGTTTGATTAGCGTTCTGCTGTCACCTAATGCAGAAATATTATTAAGCTAATGAGACGTTTTTTTCGAGGGAATAATACCAATGGTTGAATCTATGTATCTACTACTTATTTTACTAAGAAACTCGGTAGTCTGCATCGGAAATAATCTCCGTACATAGTATACATCAACGCCATCATCATCTTGATAAGTCTCTAGCCAGTCATAACTGCCACGGCATATGATGGTTTCGTTTCCCTCCTAGCCCATAACCTATTCCCTTAATTTCGAGTGTGACCAGGACACGATGAACTTGTTCGTGCAATAAACTACGTTGTTAAAAGATACGATAGCTAAGGGTCGTAATTAAGGAACACGGATTAGGTTCAGGCCTGTTTGCGTATGTGAATTGGTCAATTTTTCCTTTATTAATAATAAAAGCAAGAGCTGTTTTTTTTCGTCCGCAAAATAGTATTACCATTAATATAGATAATCAATTAATTTTTATCGAGATGTAGCCATTAATCCATAATTCCAGATCTGCTGGTCGTTATACTAGACAATTTAGGCGTGTCGAGTCTGGTTCAGTCTGAGGTTCGGTTCGGAACTGCTAGTTTTCCCTGTTTCATATCTTGATCCGTATAGAATGCTCTGCGAAGTCCTCAAACTCTTCACTTACGGTCGCACGCGTCGATGCAATAAATTAGCTTGAAAGTGTTACGTCATTGGTGTGCGAAGCAATAAGGGTCTCTTGCGCGATAACGGCAAACTCTATTTGCTAGAGAGTTGTAATTTGTAAGAGGATAACGAGACCCTAATATTTGCTTGTGGATCATAAGTGACATCGGAACTGGAAGGATACTGACGTTGATTGAAGCATGGTAACGTGGTGACGAAATTCCGGTATCTATACTTACAGCTAAACTGGTTCCTGGTACAAGTCAAGTAAAACAAAGTCTTGGTTTCCCAGTATTTATCTTAAAGACGGTTGTAGCGACGATTATGTTACTTTTTATAAGTTAAAGATAATTTTGTACTATTATGAGAACGTATGTCTTTGTATGCTCGCTGTCTTCCTCTTTCGTGCTAAAAGGTAAGTAATCATGCATGATGAATCAAGACAAATATATCAGATTGTATTTATCCTCTTTTAGAATTCGGATCCTACGGGTCCTACAAACAAGCCTCCTCAGCAGGATAAAACGGAGGCAGAAAAGGGCCCTGGGCAAGCCAATGCATCATGCTCCCTGGGAAATAAAGTTGTTGGCCAGGCTAATGCATCGGTAATGGCTGGCACTGAGAACTTTTTTTCGAGCACCGGCGGGGTTGAAAGTATGTGATTTTTGATATTTTGGTATGTGGATCTAGAACGTAAACGTTTTACCTGAAGGCGCACGTGCATACGAAAATATAATAAGGAGGCGCTTGTAAATTAAATGTCGATACTAGCGACTGGCCTATATTGGTTGTGTCCTTCCTCATCGGCTTTTAGAGCACGCATAAACAAATCGATTAGAGACCTTAATATAGCCATATGAACTGATCCGGTCCGATGGAATGGTCGTGTCTCCGTTCATAAGCATTTTTTGTTTCTAAAACTATGTCTATAACTTGTGACGTAGTAGCTTTCGCTTCGTGGTTCATGCTCGGCGTCATTAATTCGTTAATGACCAGCGGCACGTAATACAAGTGAGGCTGGCGCAGAAAGTTTTCTTTTGCTACGAACATGAGAAATTATTTGTGGGCCTACTACATGTGACATGTAATGATCTCATGGAGCACCCTTTTCCGATACATTTTTGTCATTTACAGATGATGCGAAGACGTCTGATGTGAACGCTCAAGCTATCTTCGATTCTCTGTCTATCATTCCAAATACAGTTTACCTGTTGTGGACAGAATATGCGACGGATTATATGAAGCAAAAACTCGAAGACGGCTCCAAGTCAGCTAACATAGAGGAAAAGTATTTACTCTGTTAGTGTATACCTATTTGGTCTATTAGCAACGTTTTCATTACCGTATACCTGTTTTGTTTCACTGACAAGTTGGGATCAAAACGGCCTCATAAGTAATGCTAGTTTTCGGATTTGAAGCAATCCGAAGAAATGGGTGGTGGAGTGTTTTTCTGCGAAATTTGGGGACACTTAATGGTGCAGGTTTGCACCTTGGCTTAGACACCCTGGCTTTTGTTCGTGCTAGAAGCCAGCCGTAGGAAGTTATGCTGCCGAACGTGAAAATTTGACGTATTCATTTTAGATGTTAATGTTAGAGATACTGATGCTTTGTAACCGTGCACTTCTATTAATGACCAAACGTTTGCCATGTCGTACACAATACTTAAATGTCGCTAGAATCTAAGATGTCAGATTGTTCCACCGGCCATACTTTGGAGGATTTTACAGGCGTATCATTGTGGTTCCTATTTGCCATATCAGGAGTCAGTAGCTCGATTTTTATTGTGTTGATTTCGCTCGCCATGCCTGGGTTCGAGTCGCTGAAGGCAATCGAAAGTGGCAACCCAGGACTTATTCGACGTTGGCTGAAGTATTGGGTTGTGTTTGGGGTCGTTAACGCCGTCGAGTTCGTCATACCCATAGTCGTGGCAAAAGCATTGTCAATTAGCTTCTTTAAGGTATGCGCGCGTCTTCGATGACGCATCTTGTTGCTATCTGCTTCTGATTACCTGCGGTGTTCATGTGGGGTTGGTAGGACGGTATCTGTAGATCGTGTTAACCTACATTTGTATCTTTGCCTTTTAGGGATGCCTGCTGCTATGGTGTATCCTTCCTATAAAACCCAACGGAACAGAGCTGGTATACAGCAGGTTCATTAACTCGCGTGCCAGAGGTACTCTATTCTATCTAGCAATTTTTTAAGAACACGGCGTTAACAAATCTACATTCTAGCAAAACACAAAGCTATGCAGAAGACGTTCCCTATGCCGACTTCCCTAGAATATAGTGACAAATGTATTTTGCTTTGGTATCATGGTGTTTCTGGCGATCTTGAGTATTCGATATTCTTAAGTTCTATGTATAGTAACAGTGAATATTTGAGGAGTTTACGAACAGCGTTAGTAGAATAGGAAATTTGCTTTATGACAACTACGTATGTTATATGCTTAAGCCCCTACGAGAATCCAAAATATATACATATGACAGTGTTTTGTTACAAAGTACAAATCCAGACAGCCGAAACTTGACGAAAAGTTGACGCTCCTTCATGCTTTAATGTACTGCCGGCCAAATGCAAGCGCGAAGCCTACAAAACTACAAGCTAAAGTAGACATTTAGGCAGGCAACCTCGAATTGCGGCCGTCAAGTATATCACGTATAAATGATCAAGAAATAATACCAATCAAGATAAATTGTAGAAACTATTACTAAGGTTGACGTCAATCAAGTCACAAACAGAATAATCATAAAATTAGCTCACGAGATAAAAATGCGTGTTTGTTTCATCGTATAAAATGCATACTATTCAAGAGCCTACTGTGACAGCATCCTTTTGGACAGGAGAACTCGAAAGATTAGCTATCAAATACCGTCAAAATACAAAAAAAAATATTTTTTTCGTTTTTGGTAAAAGCTTATTTCAATGTTTTGGGGCATTTTTTGGGAATAAATATCAACGAGCATTATGCAACGAGATTTATGCAGATGCTTCTTTTCTCGGTCTTCGATCGAAAGTTCTTGATTTTTTCTTTGCACTTTGGCGTTTTATCATGCCAAGCGCCTGCTAAATAATTGTGTTCTGATTTCTCTATAGGACATTTACATACATGAGTCCTTACATAAATCATCATTATAGTCTGTTCATTTAGATTTAGCCAACCGCTGTGACACCCCTATCAAACGAAAGAAGAACGGCCACGTTCTCGTCCCCTCAATGTCTGTAACGTCCGATATTATATCGTCTAACGAAATATACTTCCACGGTCCCTATTAAAAAAAAAAACTATTTCTTTATCCAGTTGTATTACACCTTGCAATTACTGATCACAAATTTTGAAATGTTTAAAGTAATCGAAAAAAGGAGCTCAGCTATTTTCCATAATCAATCTAATACTAGTAAGATATATATGCCAATTCATTCTATTCTTGCATCTTAGCTGAAGCAGTGTAAAGAAGGATCACTTTACGATGAAGTCTAAATTTACTAAGATGAACTTGTTTATAACCTTATTTGCAGAAGATATCGAGGCTACAGCCCGTGTGCTCGAGTCGTACCTCCGTATGCTTAGAAAGAGAGACTTGCCGCAATACATCGCGGCAAAACAGTTTGTGACGGAATGCGCTGTGGCCGGTTTGGACCCGTCTCTGAAAGATATGGAAGCCCATTTGTCTTCTCTTGGCCCAGATGGTACTTCTGTTGCACCAAGTGCTGCTCCTCTTCCTGAATTTGAACTCGTCTTACCCGAAAGAAAGGAACCGGGCATTTTCGCAGAGCATTACAGGAAACCTTTGCTAGTTGCTGTGGGTGCTGGGGTACCAGAAATTACCATCTCGGACCCGCAAAAAGCGGCTAGTAAGAACGCTAAAGGGCATAAAGGAAAAACTGATTCGTCAAAAAATTCCCTATCGAAACAGAAGTTGTCGAAGGAGCCTGGAAAGGGCCAATACTCTTAATTACCGATGTACAATGTTCATAAAAGACTCAGATGGCATGCTCTAGGCCGTGTAATTATTGATCTTTTCGAGGAACTCCACTGTGTTCTATACGATTGTGTTAGTAGGATTAATTAGTCGTTCGAGGACCAAATGAAGTAGCAGGAATGAAGTGTGTCGATAATATCAAACTATGCTTTGATTGATAGGGAAGCCTAATACAAGACTCGAGAAAGGGTCAACTACTACTCGAGTTGGTCGAATGCTCTGCAACATATGAGCTATGAGTAATGAAATGAGTGCTGTAAAGAGGCTTTTATCTATTTATTATGACTAAAATCGGTGTCGGTGCCCAGATAACTACCTTTAGAGACCTGCACACAATCCAGGCCTCTATCGGGGCTCATATGTTCAGTATGCAAACTTTCTTTTTTGTTAATACTTATTCCGAATTGGCCGACCACGTAGAATAAAGACTTCAATATAGGTCTAGGAAACTGACACTTCACTTCGTTTGTCCTTCTAAGCAAGCATATATATTGATTTTATGGAATTGAGCTTCTTTCCTTTCTAGTTCTGAAATCGGGGGACGAAATTCGTCTGTTTTGGAACAACGACTATAGTCGTCGGTAGGTTGATCTCGTACGGAGAGTAACAACGTATAATTGTCCTTATTCGTGTGTCCCTCGACTATAAGAGCGCGCATCTAGAGAAGCAAGCCACGGCTTAATCGTTCCTAGAATGGTCGTGCTAAGATTTGGAAAACCTGTATGAGCGTTGTGGCGCAATTTCGCACAAGCCGATCATTGGTGCTCCTGTATTTTTCCCTAAAATCTAGCCTTCCGCCTATGATTTATTACAATATGTAACCATTTGTAGGTAGCTGTATAGAATAACCTAGGATGTAAACCTTGCTACAAGGTATCGAACTTCATGGCGCCTCGTTGCAAAAGCAGTTGGCAAGAAAGTTTACATTTGGAAATTAAAGGAGGACGAGTAATCCTCATGAGGGGGTTGTTTTATACTCGACCGGTGGATGCACAGAAGCGTTCAATGTGTTGAACTCCATTCGTTGGCCTGTGTAGCTAAGTTGATAGTGATCAAATATTACCCCTGGCATGGAGGAGAGTTACTGAAGCAACTATTTAATTAATGACGGTGTAACTAATAGAGTTTGACAATCCTACTGATGGCGATCTACTTCATTACTATTTTAGCATTACTAGCTGTGAACGTTGCTTAGACATTAGAGAGTTAACTGATTAACAGGTCTATCTGTACATGGATGGCAAATTGTTTACGAACATGTATTATCTTACATACGCCAGCTTCGACCTTGCTTGATCATGAGGGAGAGGAAAAGAGACCCAGTTTTTTGTTTGTGGTTTGGACAGGGTTCCGCACAGGTTATTAACAGCGAGTCCTACAACTAATACTCGATGAGAAATTGTAGTCAGGCCTAACTGATTAGCTAGATGATGTTGTTATTAGCGTGACCAGAAGCTAGAAACAGTAACGTAAACAGCAGTCAATGGAGAGCGCTATATTGTCGCGAGTTGTCGTGCAGTTAGTACGTACTTATTCGGCGACAGCGACCGACTGGCAATGAAGAAGGACCGGAAAACAGACGTCTGCTTTTTTACTAGATGAATAAAAACCCGTGCAGGCATTTCCGGTTATAGACTAATGTTAATTCCTATATTTGCCAACGTCGATCGTTTTGCTACGCACGACGCATGATTGTTACTTTGGTCGAGCTGATGCTACCAGCATAAGATCGTGTCAAGCTTTCGAGAACGAAATAACAAAGTGTATTCTTTCGAAATTAGCTTTCCTAGAAACTTAAATGTGATGCTTTCTTTGAAGAGATTAATGAGTAGTTTCGAAATATGGCGTCTGCTGTTTTCTATTTAAGTCTGCGCTTGACATAATTGGCCTGCTGTGAAACAACGGCCTATCAATTATAAAGTTTTATGCGTCACTAGCGTAACTTTTTTCGAAGAGATGGTAATAATATGTAGTAACTTTTTTTGAAAATGAGTCAAGTTTCCCATAATATGATAAACAATCAATTTTTCCGAATCTACATATTTTTAATAATAGTATATATCATCGGTAAGGCTGCTTGATTCGTTATTGAAACAATATTATACTAATTAACTTCTTGAACATAATGGACCAGTTGCACTATAGTAGCATCATAGCCGGGACTGGGTAACAGAAGAAAAGCCGAATGAACTTCTAAATAGATTTAGAAGATACATACAAACATGACCATACACCTGCAACGGTCCCACAGAACAATGCTTTAAATGACAACCATAAGTTAATTTTTTGTCGATTATTGTAGGCGATGCTTTCAGTTCTCACACGAAACACCCTTACAGAAAATCTTACGCTAGCTAACATTATAGCACCGGTTTGCTTAGACCTTCGTTGAGCTATAGTTGGTGTTACGATATCGAATCCCCTGGGGTACAGCAGGTAAACAGCGTCAGGCCTAACGTTCCGGTCCTAATACTATTTACTTTTATATTCATACAATGAAAAAAAAAAATAAAAGGTGAAGTGGAGTACTATTTTTGTAATTAGCACGCTCCATGAAAGCTATGGCTACGGGAATATTACTCGATATATATACAGGTCGATTTGATCGTAACTCGGCTCCAACTATCGCTATTCGCTGTGGCTAATTTGTAATTGATAGGCACATGGTGCAAATAAGGGTGCCAATTTTTCACTCCGTACGAAAAGTTCGCTAAATCGACGCTTAAAACGATGGCCATCGGAATGGTAGCTGGCTGAGTACGAAATTCTTCGAGAATCGGTTTCTCTACTGTACATTGGAATGTGGCTCAACCGACGACGTTAAATCAAGCAGACGCTGGTGGAAGAATTTCTCCCTGGCTTACGCATCGCCTTCGGCTGGTTGTACATGCGTCCATTGTCCCTGCGACATTCTAACTCACAACACATCGTTCCCCGAAGTCGTCCCGCTCCTCCCTATATGCTAAGCAAGAATGCTCTCTGCACACTTGCGACGGATACGCGAGACACAATTGGATATCACGTTGCTTGTCGCGACAATGATGCGGCGCACGGAAGAAGCGTGCCGCAGAAAGAAGAGTCTAACTTTACCGCTGTTTTTCGTAGAAGTGGAGAAGTTACATGCTTGGTCACGTTTCCTTACCTGCTCGAGGTAAAAAAAAAAAAAACAGGAACAGCAATAATATAGGCCCCTGGACTGCGTTGGCCTTTCCACAATAACGAGACGGTCACAATGCTCGCATCGACACGGATACGTGAACCGGACGGTTGCAATGCACGTGAGTCATCAAAAAAGACCGAGGCCATTCAAAGTACTAAAGTAAAAGGCCAAAGATCGCTACACCTGATCATCGTATGCCGATCAAATGCAAAATAATACGCTACAAGTATTATCGCGTTTAATTGATCTGCTAATCTTTCAGTCGACCTGTATCCCTTGCTAGATGTCAGCCTATTTATATTGCAAAAAGGCAAATATAGTATGCCGCCATTGCGAGCTAGCTTACTGTACAGTTCGATACGGATAGCAGTTTTGATGATCGCCCGTTGAACTCGCCTTAGGTCACAGACGTCTTCTTTAATCTGAGTCAGCCTAGGAGCCACTGTTGAGCCTATCTTATATATTACACACTGCTTCTCCTTGTATAAAGACGGTGACGAACTCTTTTTTGTTAGCACATGAAGCGTCTCGGTTCCTGTGCCAGGCAATACATTGCAATGAGACCTTGTCAATCGCGTCGTGTTTCTTTTGCTGCAACATGCTCGATTACCTGGTAAAGTCCTATTTGACAAGGACATGCCACCGACCTATAACAAGACGCGATTGGCAACAACGTTACTGGCCACGTGATTCCTAGTGGTTATAATGGTTATTACCCCCTGTTGCTTACTTTGTAGTAGTTTGAAGACCTAATACTTAGGGAAGACTAACAGCTACGTCAAATCCTTTGTTATCATTCGTATTATGACGCTTGCTATGGATTATTTTCCACATCTCCAGCTCCTACCGTGGTAAATTTTAAACATATTTTTTCGCTTTTCTAGGTCGTCCAGATGTTTGACGACAATCTCAATAGCGAAACTCTCAAATATCCTTATACTAACGATACATCAACTATAGGAACCCTACATCACATTGTGTTTGTTCACAGAGACTCAGACCCACTCATATCACAAACCGGTTCGCACATCTACAATGGTAACAAGTGTCTGCTATAGACTCTGTAAGCGCACGCGTACGAAATCATCTCCATTTATTTATATGAGCATTACAATCTTTTTTAGTATATAGTAGGGCATTTCTCTATTTTTTTTTGTTTGCCCAATGCCTCCTGTGGCATTCGGTCACATTATTAGCAGCAACTAAATCAAGATAAAGATCCCGAATTGGCTATTGTTGGCAGTTTATGTTGCTACAGTCGTGCTTCGAGCTCGGGAAGGCGAACCGCGAAGATGCGGGAAAGGAGGCTCTTTGAGTGTGAAACGCTTCCGATAGGCCAGCTACCGTGTGGACGTGGGATTCTCCGCTCGCCAGCAGGAACACGACTCGTTAACACGGGTCTCACGTCCAACAACAACAACAACAACATAAGAAAGATCCTATTCGTTCCGGTCACCAAAAACAAACCCCAAAGGAATCGAGAAGCTCGGCCAAAGAGCTGGGGACAGAACAAGCTAAAGCATCGGGCACTGGCACAGATCGACTCTCGTTAACCTTAATCGTTGATTATAGATCACTCGCGCCATTTCATTACTGTTAGTTGACTAAACATGGACAAATTGTTCGTTCTAAGAAACACGACTATCATTTGCTTCGGCAGAATAAAAAATTATTATGGGTATTGCAACACCGAGGCGAGATCGGCAGGTTGTTGACTTCTTCATGCCGTAGACAACTGTTACGTTTCGTTTCCAACAAACTATATGCGAGGAAAAGCTATCTGTCATCAAAAACAAGCCGGCGCTAATGATATGAATGTCGAAGAAATGATCCATCAAAGGATTAGGCATATGTTC